AGCAACCCAATAACAGATACTTTATTGGCATTAGGAGAGTTTCTCCAAATTTCAGTTTTACGTAATAATACTGACACTAACACTAGCGTTTGTGTACACGTATATATTGTTGATTCTTACATCGAGAATCTTCTACAACTCTAGAAAATTGGCGGGAGTTTCACAAGACATATTTAACAGTATAAGTTATGTACATTTCTAAATATAAATTTAATTTAAATAAACATCGATATTAAAATAAATATATGATAATAAATACATCACAGTACCTATCCAGTGAAAAGAACGCACGTGATCATGGCCCAGCGGAACAAGAGCTTCTAATGACACCCAAGTCTCCAAAAATAAAAGAACCTATTGCACAGGAAGAGAAGGTTATGATAGAGCCCTGTGAATCAACAGTTCAAGGTGACAGGGAAGTACAAAATATTCGGAAGAAGAAGCTTCAGTTAACAGTGAAGGAGAGGGGTCATATGACACAGGTGACAATGACAAAACATAACATACCTATGATATTAATTCCAAAAATGAAAAAGAAGGTCTTGGCACAGGTTGTGAGTTAGATTGCATGGCAAAGATAGGAGAGGGGAGGCTGTCCAAGCCTTGACATCTTGTTACAATTCACCAGAAAAAGGTGGAAGTGACTGCCGATTAAGAGAACCTAAGGCCCACATCAAAGAAGCCATTTCCCAACGTACTAAAGCCAAAACATCCTCAGCTGATAATGCTGAACCAGCAGCTACTTGAAAAACGAAAGGTATGGGATAAAGTTGCCGGATAACTTGAGCAAGGGGAACGAGGACCCATGGTCAAAAAGCCAAGTGATAAATTCTGCCACCCGGGCATAGTAGGCCAGTCAGTGGGAAATCCCCGAGCTGAAGACCAACCGCAGAACAAATTTCAATTGCAATGATACACCTCCATGTAAGAAGGATGTATGGAACCAGCTAAAAAGAAAGCAACTCGACAGGAGAAACTGGATCTCCTCGCCAAGGACCAGATAGAAAGCCAGGCATGAAGATGCAGGACGTGAAGAGTGGGATGTAGAACTAGCAACCAAGGTTGATGAAAAAGGTAGGGATACAACAGAGGAGGTACAGGAGGGGAGAGTAGCAGGTCTGTAACCATGGAAACCATGGCTGAGCTGGCCAATAAGGAGCAATCAGGACCCGACAAAAAGTGGTATGGATGAGAGAGAGATCACCCAATGAAGTTATCTGATAGGAGGATAAACATAAAGATATTTGTGGGACCAATCTTGGCTGAAGGCACTGACTGCCAGAGCCTGAGGATGACGAACCGGTGTCCAAAAGAGAGGTAACTTGTGATTGAGGCTCATAGCAAAGGCATCCACATGGAGAGAACCCCCACCAAGTGCAAAGCTCCCTGAAAACAAGGGGATCTAAGAATCACTCTGTCAGATATATTTGGTTGGGTGGGAAAGACAATCAGCAATAAGATTGAAAGCACCCAGTACATGACAAGCATTGAAATGAATGTGTTGCATGTGGGCCTAGTATAAGAAATCCAATGTTCAAAAACATAGATCTCTCAAGAGGGTTAAATTAAACCTGGATCAGGCCCTATAACTAGTTGTTTAGTCTTTTAGAGTATACACATGCAAGTCATTCAACCAAAATAAATATATATTTTGTCAAGACCATACACTTATAAATAATGCAAAATATCATATATAACTTTTAATTTATATATACCAAATTCATAATTAGTTTTATTAAATAACCTTTGTTTCTTATTATCTTTAGCTGTGTATACTATGAAATAATGAGAAGTACAAATTGTAAACAAAACATTTCCTTCCACTTCACTGCAAGAATACACATGATGAGCAGTATTCTCAGTGCCAGTAAACCCATAATTATATATACATATATATAGCTTTAAAAAAAATATTTTTCTTAACTAGAAATACTTTTGACATTAATGTCCTCTTAAGAACAAAAAAGAAATAGATAGGTTGTACTGTTGCTTATCCTCTGTTTCTTTAAAATTAGAATTACTATGAAAGCAAAAAAGGTAGTCCTACCAAAAACTAAATTAAATGGAAGAAAAAAGATGGAAGATATAAAAAACACTAAAATTTCAAATAAGAAAAGGAATGAAAACCTAATTTATATTGTTTGAATAAAACCTAACTTCCTCAAACACACATACATAAATATATACTTATATATTGTTACGACATCAAGGTCACGTGACTAGTATCACGCCACGTCATTCTCGAACTTTCACGTCTTTTCCTTAAATCTCGTGATCTTTCTAGATATAGTGTAGTCTTGTATATATATATATAAGACCGGCCACGAAGCGACATGGAGGTAATGAGTAATTGAATGTATGGGGACAAAATATTGTTGGCCATGTGAGACGTGACTTATAGCATTTGATTACAGAGCGACTGTTGAAATTAAGTGTATCGTAAAGTTGTATTCGGAAAGAATAAACCAGTTTTATTTAAGAAAGAACTTGTGTCGCTAAAGTTTCGTTGGAACGAATTTACAGAAAATTAACGAACGAACGGAGATGTAACAATATTATATATTTGTGTACGTGTGTGTAATTGTTAGCCTAATCATTTTAGTGCTCACCTAATAAAGGGTGTGAAATTTGTATCTCCTAGTGCCTGGAACAACAAGTTTTACTATTATACTTTGCCCACATCATTCATTCAATTGTTAAATCATTTTTTTCTTGAATTTTGTGCAGAGCTACTCAATGGCTACCTGAACTAGTTTTCCATAATTTTGAAGTGATAGATTAGAAGGAAGGCAGCTAGATAACACTATTTACCACTTGGAGTGCTCTTTACCAACAAATAGTGGAATTGACAGTCACTAATTATAATGCCTCCATGACTGAAATACATCTTAAAGCCTAGAAACCTCCTGTTAATAGTAGGTCTAACTGCATAATCCACATAGCTAACGAAACTGCTTAGCAAGCATTGTTATTTCCATCAAAATGAATAGTTTCAAACGGAAGTAATTTTGACTTGTACATGTTATAACATTAATGTACCTTTTGACAATGTATTTATATAAATTCCTCACCTTTCCCAAAGGTGGATGTACATCAAAGAAAAATGTGTGATTGATATACCAGCTTCCCATCTTTCCAAAATGTGTTTCATCCCAACTGAAAAAAAATAGCAATAAAACATTTGGATAGTACATAAAACATCCAAGCACTGACAACACAATATAGATTTTTACAACTGTCTCAAACAGAAATAAAATTTAATTTTTCATATAGTGTTTCAATAATTATAATGATAAACCATGTTCCATAGACATGAAGTCAGGTTGATCAAAACATAATTTTTAACTTTGATTGCACCATAAAGTTTACAATAAGCATTGTTAGTAACTTATACAATAGCATACTATTAAATTGTGCCTTGTTACAATAAAGTCTACAAAATCAACACATAAAGAACTGTTCACACAACTTTTGATCAGTTGTTTTATTATACTTTTGTCAATTTATTCAACGTTTGGATATTCCTTTGAATATTTGTAGCTTAAGACACTTCTCAAGTTACAATGATTTTGTGCAAAGATTCAACTTTTAAGCTCACCTTTATCTGTCACAATAACTAGGCTTAAGTATACATTTCTCACTAAAGATGAAAACAAGTAAATAATCACTTCTTGAAAGTGTATCCAACTCATTTCATGTGAATATCCATGATACATGGAAAATGAACTTATACAAGAAAATGATTTTATTCAGCAATATGATTCAAAAGTTTTAAACTCTATTACAGGTGTTCTACTGTTAATATTAGGCATGTTAAAGCAAGGTATGTTGATATCAGTACAAAAAGTAAGTTGAAATTTTTCTACTATTAAATAAAGTATTAAAAAAATTCTTACACAGAATTTATCCATATTACATAACATTTTAATGTAATATGAAAATATTAACTAATACAATATATCAATATAGTTTTATTTTTAAAGTGTTTTTTTTAATTTTAGTGTAGGTTTCTGTGCCCAGTTACAAGTTTTAGACAATCAAAATGTGCTCAGCCTTGAACTATGCTATTCTTGTCTTTAAGTACTAATACATATTTATAAGCTTATCTTTCAGACTGTGCATTTGTCACTCTTGGTCAACTTGCTTAATAACTGATGAAGCTGTTCTTAAAGAGTAGTTTTAGTATGTTGGTTGAATATGAATATACAGCAGTTAGAAATTAGTTTCATTTGCCTGTTAATGCATCTTGCCTAATGATGTGGGTGATGATGTAATTTTCATGATATAAAAGACTGTTTGGTTTAAATATTAGTGATTAATTTATATTTGTGAGTGAATATTTTATTACTTTCAAGTTTTGTTATAATAAGAGTTAAAAGCAGACAATTGTAGATGGTTTTGTTAATAACTAATTGGTGTCGAGAATATAGAGTGGCCAGACAACTATGTAATAAAGATATAAATAGCATGAGATAAGCGGGAATACAGTATTAGACGGATAAAAGCAAAGAGAATATAGTTGGCGTGAGGTAACGTTAAAGTGATAGGCCTAACATTTAATATGTAAGAGTGAAACTAACAGCATATAAAAAAAGATAAGGAGGATAATTTTATTCTGTCAAATTGTGATTCTAAAGTAATTGCATCAGCCTGGGTACACTTTGAAAAAAGGAACAAAGGATCTTCAGAAGAAAGAAGACCAAACGAATTATGGTAATTTGCACCACTATTATAAATGAATCACACACAGAATACTAGTAAGATAGCAATATAGAGAAGATAGTTCGACTTGTAAAGAAAATTCTACAGTAATTGAATAGGCCTAAGTGGACTTTTGACAAGAAGAAGAGAACTATATATATGTAGTGTTTATCATATGCCTATAATCACTATAGTGTGAATACTTTGTTGTACATACGTTTAACTTGTTATGAATATATATACATATATATTATATGAAAACAAGTAAAATGTGTGCTGTTTATTGATCATTGAATTTATCACTAACAAGTCACAGACACCTACTGTAGAAGAATCCTTAGCCCAACAACAACATAGTATATATTTATACTATCAAGAAATATAAGTAAAAGATATTTATTTCAACAATTAGCAAATAGAAGAACTTATATATATATATATATATAATATATTTTTAAATCTGACAGTAATTAGGAGTTTGGAAGTACAATATTATTCTAAGCAACATCAGCTCTCCCTCAAGTTGTCTCAAGCTTTAGTAGCCAGTTGAAAATACATATTTATTTTCTAATCAATCTGACAGTAATTAGGAAGTTTTAGTGGAGTTTGGAAGTACAATATTATTCTAAGCAACATCAGCTCTCTCTCAAGTTGTCTCAAGCTTTAGTAGCCAGTTGAAAATACATATTTATTTTCTAATCAAACTGTCGTTGTTTTTCTATTTTGCTCTTTATTTTATATTATGCTTATTAGGTATGTTTAATTAATCAACAGTTTTATGTTAAAAAGACTGACTGTTATCCTACTTGGAACAGTGACTGTTAAATAAAGATTTGCTTTGCTTAAGCCAGTTGCAGTTCTTTTAATTAGCTGTAATAGGGTGTTCTTGTAATGCATGCTGATTGTATTTAGTCATACGAACATCACACATTACATCAAATATGTGTACATAAAACAAAATATAAAATCATGTAAAAATATTTTATTTCATTTATGTGGATTATCTGTATAATAAAAGAGTTTTCAATCAAATATAAACTAGCACTTATGTCTATATGATCAGTAAATTAGTGCTAATGAAGGTTTGAACCTTCATTTGATAATGTGTTCCTTCATTACAGCCCTAGTTATGTATAATGTCTTAACATTCAATAATTTTGAAAGTTTTATTATTGCTTTCATTTTCTCTTATCTTCCTATAAAATGTTATAAGTTTCTAGTGAAGTATTAAATAAAACTGTTAATTACTCATATTAATATTTGATGGGTCAATATGATCATATCTATGATAATATATCTTGTCACAAAAACATTTTTAACCAGTGATCAAATGACATATTTATATATACAATCTGTAATTTGGCATTTATATACCTAGATAGAATAGCCAAAAATCCCTAAACTTTACATAGACTTGAAATAAAGCTATGCTACTTAAATTTTCCTTACCATACATGATCAGGTTCTTCTATTTTGTACAGCCTTGTTGCAGCAGTAAGAAATACAACAACACCAAAAGCTAACCACCAAATCATATTATCTTTGTCTTTTGTTGTCATCTTCTTCTTTTCAGTGTGGATTTTTGATAATTTTAATTTGATTTTTTCACCTGTTTTCCTCCCTTTAGCTGCAGAACTTTGTTGTTCTTTAGTGGTCATATTTTCATTAACAGAGAAGGTTTATAGTCTATGACAAACAAAAATGATAGTATATTTTATGTTCAGACTTGCAGTTAAGTATAATTTATATCAACAAAAGTGACAAAGCAGAAAACTGTACTTTATGATTTTGAAATTAAAACTAAAATTATTCAAAATCATAAATAATATTCAACGTTAAACTGGTACACAATTAAAAACATTTTATTTAGGCCTATCTATGGCCTTCAAAAAGTTGATGACGCTTACATGTTTCGACGTTACAACGTCATCCTCCTTGTAACATTGAAATATGTAGTGTCGTCAACTTTTTGAAGGCCACAGATAGGCCTAAATAAAATGTTTTTAATTGTGTCCCAGTTTAACGTTGAATATTATTTATGATTTTAACTTTATACACAAGTGCCAAAATACTATAA